CCCCCCTGGAGCTCGCCGAGGTCTAGCGTGCAAATCACAGTTATGAAAGTAAAAAAAAAACAGAGTTGAAAAATGCTCGTTTTCACCCCCCCCCCCCGTATCTTTGTTATATGAATATGTGTGTGTACAACCTAAATACAGAATAATATTTCAACGGTAGGCGCATACCCCTATAGTATACACATATATACTCGATGGCGACCGTAGAGGTAGGTAATTGTGAAAAATGGCGGTCGGCTAAGCGCAGCACAAAGAAATTAGACCGACGAGGATGGTATATAATAATTTAGACACTATATTATACGGCAACGTGTGCCCGACCGTGAGATTGATGGCAGACGTGTCGTTGCCGCCCGGAATGCGTCCCGAGGGATAGACGGGGAAATATAATAGTATATACAGCAATAATAACGGGACAGGAAGAAGCGGAGAAAGGACGACTGTGTTATAGAGGCAAGTCGAGAGGTTACATATTATTATCATTATGCACATCATTAGATACGGTGTGTGCCCTAACCCCCTTCTCACTGACTCCCCACCCCCGGCACACTTCTTATCCCACGACCACCAAGGATAATGACATTAAACCTGTCTCGTTTGTCGACGTCCTGTCAATATTATTAATATATTATCACGAGTATGATAATAATATTATAGTATATATGTGAGGCACGAAATCAAACAATAACAACAATTTATGTACGTACCTATATGAAGAATGAGAGAAACAGCGTTAATTCGATCAATTAACGACACATCTATAAGCAGTCGTTTAATTTGAATATTGTTTTGTATTTTTTAATATAAAAATACAATAAAAACAATATACGCTCTTTGCTTTTTTTTTTGTTTAGCTATCATAACAACACGTTTCCGAGATGAAATAATATATTTAAGTGTTTCGCGTTGCGTATGAAATTTAATTTCACTAATGTAAGATAAAACAACAATATTAAAATAGGGCCGTATTTTTTTTTTTTGTACTTGATCATTTACAATCATTTACGAAATGAGATTTTTCTTTTTTATACAAAACTCGATGCGTTTCCATAAAAGTGTAAAGAAAAAAAGAAAGAGAAAAACGCTTAAAAATTTGTATTTTTTTTTTTTTTGTAGCGCGACGTTATATTTTATTTAAGGCTTTTTTGTCGCAGTACACTGTACTTATTTACCTACCTATACTAATATTGAGTCCAACATAAAAATATAAACTTTACTTGTGAATTGAAATCGGATAAGTCAAATTCCCAAACAATTTTCAGAGCGAAATCATTTTTTACCACCAAAGCGGCCTTTACTCAGAAAGAAATGTGTACACTCTGAAGTAGGGTAGGGCCTATCCGGATATTTGGATATCCGAATTATCCGGATAATTCGGATACGGATATCCGAAATCCGGATAGTTTCGGATATTCATTTCATTTTTATAAGATAAATATACCTTAATAATATACAGTGTTTTTAAACATACCGAATAATAAAATAATGACACCTAATTAAATTTTACTATCACATGAATGATTTTTAGATATATCCGTGTCAGTGGTTGTTAACCGACTATTCAGACTCTTTGCAGAGTCCATCCTCGGGGTTGTCACGACTGTTTCGTAGCCGGTTAATAACCACTGACACGGATATATCTGAAAATCATCCACGTGATATTTCAACCCGTGAAAATTTCAAAAAATACATAAATTTGAGTACTCAAAAAAAATATATTCGGCTGGTTAAAAATTAAATGAATATCCGAAACTATTCGGATAGTTTTGGTTCTATGGAAAATTGAAATATTATTTGATATCCGGATAGTTGATCAATTATCCGGATATCCGTATCGGAATTATCCGGATATCCGCAAAATCCGAATTTTAGTCCCAACCCTACTCTGAAGCTTACATAAATTAGTCTGTATACATATTAAAATTGCTTAAAAAAACCGACAGCTATTTTCGATGAAGAATACCCAAAGTTAATTGCATATTATATTTTCAACGTCATTACCTGTATACTGATTAATAAGCTTCATCATCATACAGTTTCACTTTAACATAATAGTAATATAATATACGTTATCCTAAAGTTAATATTTTTTACACTTAAAGATTTATTAACAAAAAAACCCACTGTCGTAAAAAACAACCGTAAAATCCCCATATAACTCGCTGGCTAGTTAAAAATTAACTAATGCGGCAATCCGAATTTTGTTATCCTGACATTTTAACTAACTACAATATTAAAATAATAACAATAATAACGTTTACAGCACACCAAAGCGTTTTTACTTTTTATGTATTATAATGAAAAGTGAAAAACGTTCAATGTGAACAAGCGGAGAAAAGTGGTTTGCTCTATAGGAATATTATAAAGTATTTTTTTTTTTTTTTTTAACATCTTTTATTATAATTTTGATAATTAATAATATTTGGTATTGAGGTTAGTATATTCTTAAGCAGTCTATACTTACTATTATAAGGATTTTAGTGCTCTTATTCTGGTTTTCATAAAGTTTTTACTGGTGTGTTCGATGAATTATTGGAATTTGTATTACACGGCATATTGGCTTTTGTGTTTTTTTATAATGAACAGTTGCATAATATATGCTGTCCATTAAATATGCGACTCCGTTTGTAAATATATATATATTACTATCATTACTATTGATTAGTATTTATATTTACTTGTATCAGTGACGGTTTATATGGACGACAGACTAATATGGAACATAAATAGTTTATTCGTGAATTATGCACGCGTTTTACAATATTTAACATTATTACTTGACATAACACTGTTGTAATTAAACCCAGTCTAATGATAAATTATTAGGAGTCAATTAATCGTCGGGACGTTAGTACATATTTTATGATGTGCGCGTACACGACAAAGGGCCGTTAACTGTCTGACCGTTTTTGATTTACAAATAATTGGGTAAAGTTTTCATCAATACAAACGTGTCGATGGACTTTTACCAACGTGAAACGGCACAAAGCTAGTCGATTCGTTAGAATAACCTCTCTTGTTTCACACGTTGATCTACATAATATAATTTTTTTTTTTTCCAATATATTATTCAGTGTGATCGGAAAAATCGCTTGGAAACTGCCCACTCTACATTGTTTTCCAGTAGGCAGACACGTGTGCGTGCAAAATAATACACTACTAGACCTAAATAATATGTACTCGCAACGCAATTTATCATAAAATAGCTTCGTGTTCGCCGGCGGTGTATAATATGAATAATGTATTCGAATTAATTCGAAATTTGCCCCAGGACCGTCTGAACGTCTTGCACAGGGCAATTTCAAGGCGACCTGTAAATATTTTTCACATTATTTTTTTTTACCGCCGCCAATTTTATGCAGCCCATAAAAAGTATTACACACGAATCGGCACTTCTATAGTAGTATTCTATTACTGCTGACCTTCCGTTGCAGATAACAAACGCTACAATTATTGTTGAAGTTGTATAAAAATATATATAATATATGATATATTATGTTAAAACTATACAAGCAGTGCTCGAATTTGGAAAACAAAAGTAGGGGAACGTTACAATTTCTGAAAAATAGCTGGGGCACTCAGTACTTGACTATTTATTTATTTTACACTACAACGACTTGAGAAATTATGACGTTTGAACAAGTACGGTTTTGGCGCACATATCTACCGATATAGCAAAATATATTATATAAATCAATTACTTTGAGGTTGTTCTCACCGAGTTTGATTGTTTTCCTCTCTATTTTTCCCTCCTTCGGTCGTTGTCAAAAATGGCAAGATAAACATTAAAAAAATATATCATTATATACCGCCCACACACACACACACATACACACGTGTGAATAACGTGCGTTGGTTTTTCATCGTCGCGCATCCCCGGCGGAATTTAAATTTCCGAGTTAAAGAACCCCCGAAGTTTTACGACCTCATAAATCTTTTAGAAATTATATATACATAAATATGTGTGCGGTGCGCCCACAGTAACACGGCCGGGAATTGCGGTAAAACAACATATTTTTATTTAAAACGTACTATTATGATACACAAGAACGAGCTGCGTGGTGACACGATATGAGAAAACCGTCTGCAGTGGAAAAATTATTTAAAAAAAACCCAACGTCAGAGTAAAGTCTCGGGTGGATTGGGTCCAGTCAGAAACAAAATATGTTCTAGATTGCAAGACTCACCAAACAACGCAAGTTATTTTTCGTATAACAAGAAGCGTTGAAAAATGTAAATTTAAATTTTGTAATAATGAAGGGGACTGTAACTGTAACTGTTTTTAGAAGAAATTCCCATTTGTATTACATGACAAAATATTATGTTATGCATAAGAAAACTTATGGCGTTGTCCACTAGGCGGCGCTGTTGTATATTTCATCGTTTGCACAATATCGTGTATGGGTTTTGTGTGCCGGAGAAAATAGCCATTACACACGGACAATTTGCTAATTGGTCGCGTGTAAATGCACCGAATGCACTCACTCGGTTTAATGTAAAGAGTAAAACGGCTTTAATCGTCGACTTATAACGTTGTATGTACCACGGATATGTGCTCGGGTCGTTGGCCATTGCGGAGAGCTCCACGTACGCCCCTTGCTCCTGCTCGTTATATTATCTAGTAATTGATTATATTATTCGATTCCCTTTTGTTTTTTGTCGCCGACGAGACCACCCTACAGCGTGCGCGTTCGTTGATGTTTTTCCCCGGTGTGTTCACTGGCTCGTGCACGACAAGAAAGTGCCCCCGGGGTGTTGTGTCGGCGAAATTACCCACTGTCACAAACACACGCCACCACCACCACTGAACCAGACTCGTGTCTGAATGCTATTATACGGTTAATATTGTGACAGTACATTCGTAGTAGACAATAATAATATGTTTGATGCGGCATAAATCGCTCAGACAATAGATCTTGCATAGAGTTATTTTTGACTATAGAGTGTACCTGCACTGAGTTTGCGTTTACTGATCTGTGTGTACCGTTTATCTGTTTTAGCTAATACCAAGCCTTTGACTTTCGACGAAGTGTACAATCAATCGAGTCCGACCAACTGCACGGTGTACTGCGGTGGTCTGACCAGTGGACTCACCGACGAACTGGTACAAAAAACGTTTGCCCCGTTCGGTAACATCCAGGAAATTCGGGTGTTCAAAGACAAGGGCTACGCGTTTGTCCGGTAAGTAAACACTTGTGATAATTGCCATAACCTACCCATTGAACGATAGCATGTTTGCCGACATCATAACATAAATCATATGATTTGAAAAATTAACTTGATTTTCGAATTCGCGTGAGCTTGCCTCGAGAACGCGTTGACTAATAAATTAAAATAAACGATGGCGTTCCTTATGGCTAGAAAACGCTAATGGAAATCAATGAACCGAGAGTCAGAAAATTAGAAATAATATCCTTGTCAAATTTCAATACACGATCGATCAGTTGGTAATAACGAAAAACAATTCGGAAGTAATGCATTACACTCTAGTGCATTGAACACACATTGCATATATAGAACGCGCATTGCCTATAATACAAGTAGGCTGTTTATGAAAATGTGGGAGGCCGCCATATTTTGAATAGTTGTTGCTTTTTTTCATGATAGATATTGTTTTTTTCCATGTTTTATTGAGTACACACAGCTATATACTATAAAGTTGATTGCTAACTAGTGATAAGAATTGAAGTCGACGTCGGCCATTTTTGTATGATTCATATGTGTATAAATTAATATGTATATATATATATATATACGTGATTCTATCCAAACAACTTGTAATTGTTGTAACAGTTATAAACATGTGATAAAGATATATTTCAACCCATTTACGCATTCCATAATAAATTGAGTTCAGTGCTCGATGAGAATAACCACAACGACAACCGTTTGTGTTTAATCAAATAAGAGGTTGACTTTAGTTTAGGCACTTGCTCCGGACCAATTGACCTATATATTATTTATTTGGTGTGTATTTTCATATTATTATTGTCCACCCCTGTAAATTTTACTGCTTTTTTATATTATGCCTTCTTTTGGGATTCGTCGAAAAACCATTTACTACCGTCCATGTCGAAGCTGTATAAGACGAATCATTTACACACTATGCTTAAGGCGGTGGCCAGGCGTAAAATGATTGAAAAATATACCGAGACAATAGAAACGTTAATCAGTCGGCTCAAGCGTGAAAACATTAAGCTCTCACTGCACTTGGCCGCTGTTGTATATATAAAATACACTTTCGCAGTTTTGAATAACCTTTTAATTTCTATAACCCCTTTTTTAGCGTGTCGGCCGTTAAAACACTGCCAAGAGAGGAGCACGACTTAATCGAATTAACGCAGATTTTCAAATGAAAACTAAATTCATTACGGGCACGCCGAGTTTTGTTTTAATGGCTCTTCCGTTCGTTTCCGCAGCTAGTACCACAGCTATTAATACGGGCCGAGATAACGGGCTATACTGTATTGTATATAATCATATATAAACCATTTACGGCAATTACAATGTGTGTGTGTGTATATATATATATATATTACAAGTATCGCGTATAAGCACAGCGCTAATAGTATTATTTTTAACGATTCATTGTGTTTTTTGGCCACTGAAAGTAGCTAAAAAATGCGCGTCTTGTTCTCAGGGTGGCAAATTCGCATACATGACTTACCATATTAGTGTTGATTTTCTCCGGTTGAATATCTCCTCGGAGCATGCTCAAGCCTTTATGTTTCGCATTTCGCCTTGGTCGGATTGCATTGCCGGTTTGCCCAAGTTAAAATATTCATGTGGAATCGTCCCAAGACGCGGACAGAGTTAAAAAAGTCCATAACCTTATTTACCGTGTGCCGGCATAAGGTCGGACCGTGTTTACCGGCCCGTATGTAGATATTATACATATTACATGGCTGACGGGTTTCTCCTAACGGTCTTTCGTCCGCAAGTTTTGGATACAGCATTTCCCTCTATACACGTACATATATACATACTTATGTAGATATATAATATTATGTATACACGGTCTGCCGGCCAATTGTTAACGGATTAAGAATGCATCCCCGGACTTGACTATGTGTACACACTGCGTACGGTCACGTGTATTTATTATTAATATATGTATATTATGTATGCGTCTGTGTGCATATGTTATTTAAACAAAAATAGTATACAAACACAGCCCGTTTCCGTGTCTGTGCACTTTCGAGGGTATATAGTCTACAACCGAGTAGGCTCTCTCAATAGTTTAACGACACGTTAATAATATTATTCAAGAGCCGAACCGGCTTTCGTATCAAAGCCATCGATATCTTTGTATTATATTTTATGATATTTTTTTTTGTTTTCCAGTTTTGCTACCAAGGAATCCGCCACGCACGCCATCGTGGCCGTGCACAACACCGACATCAACGGTCAACCGGTCAAGTGTTCGTGGGGAAAAGAATCCGGCGAACCCATCGTCTCTCAAAACACGTCGCAGGTGTGCTCGTCCCAGGTAATAATCCCTCGTCCTCAGTTATCGATATTGAAAACAAATTGTGTTGGTAAAGCTTGTGTCTATTTGCTAATTTTTTCGAAACGTGCTTTGGTTTTTTAAACAGGCGGCGCTCAACAGCACACAGTTTCCGTACACCGCGGCCGCGTACGGTCAACAGTTGGGTTACTGGTACCCCCAGAGCTATCCGGCCACACAATTACAGGGCCAGTTCCTGCAGGGCGTGCAAGGTTACACTTACGGGCAATTCGGCTACCAGCAAGCCGGTTATCTCGGGTAAGTCGACCACCGTTAACCATGATTAAACACAGTACTGTTAGAACAAAACAGAGCTATTCGCCGTGCCTCCCCCCCCCCTTACATTGTTGGGACCAACAACGATTATCGTCCTATCAGCAACATTAAGACTATCTCAAAATCGATTAAGTAAAATCCTTTAAAAATTTCCATATTTCAGTTACCCACTCTGAACGCCTGTTACTTTATTTAAATTAATTTTGTATGCATACTTAAGTTGTATTAACATTGTAAGCAATAAGAAGTAACTATATTTTATAAAATGCCTACAAAAAAGAAAGACCTATTAAAGTTAAAATATTTAGGTACATTATATATAAAGAGAAACTTTTATATACAAAAATATATTTTTATTATAAAGCGACTCCTCAATCAGTTGCTTGAAAGTTGAAACATAGCTATGCCTTATTTTGCAAAAACCATTTAAATTATCGATCTATAAAAATATGTTTTGTGTGTAAAAAACCGAGAGCCCTGTATAAAAGTCAAGGAGTGCTAACCGTTTCTAGTGACTATACCCCGAATTGTGCTGATGCTTATTCGATTATTTTCAACCCTCATTTTCATCCGTCGTTGCTGATCTCGTCACTGCAGATGTTTCTTTTGTCCTAAATGACACTTTTTTGTTACCAAACACGCCTGTTGTCTCTCTTGCCATCATCACACTTGGCAGTAATTTGCTCCACTAGCCCCGTTTTTTCGATTTGTTCATTCTATCACAGTGTACCTCTGATCCCAATCGCTTAAATTCATTGACTCCGCTTCCACCTGCATTCGAGCACACAATGGCTCGAAGGCAACCATTAGGTAACCGTAACCAAAAATATATTTTCAAGATAAGAGAAGGGAAAAAAGAGACGAGTGTAGATGCGGGGGATAACTCAAACACAAGGCTCAAGCGAGTTGCCTCTTTTGATTGGCTACCGACTCGTTGGCCACATTTGATTGGCTACCCTCTGCCCCCGGCCTCCTTGCACGGTATATCAGGGTGATTTTCTAACGACTTTTGTTGTCGGGTGTGTCCACAGACGGATGGGAATGCAAGCGTTGCCGACGGGCGCCACAACCGCGTGGACCCAGCCTGGTGCCCTGCAGCCCGGCCAGCAGATCGCCTCCGCCGTGGCGGCCCAACAGTCGGCACCGGCTCCCGCTCCGCCGCCGGCAGCCGCTGCCATGATACCAGCCTATCCGACGCTGCACCAGTTTCAGGTAAAACATCCACCGGTGCCATGGGGCATGTACGAGCATCACGGTTACGACACCAACGAGCTTTCAATTTTGAAAATGGCCACTTCGTGAACCCAACAATCGCCGACCGTATCGCACGAACATAGATTGACGCTACGCTGATATTATTATTACTAAAAAAAAAAAAAAAAAAATTACCGCTAATGCATTGTCAAAAAACACATAAAACAAAAATTGTTATAAGACAAACACCTCCTTGCACAACATATTATTATCGTCGTATCGTCCTCCCCGCTATAATATAATATGTATGATTTAATTAGTACACGCGATTCAACCGTAAACCAAAGTTTAGCCAATTATTATTATTATTATTTGAGAGGAAAAAAAAATATTATTTACGTTTTAGCTAAGAAAAAAAATCGAATAATATTTTTTTTTTATTAGGCATTTTTTATAAATATATATATATTATATATAGATTACTATTATCGTATTATTAAAATATATTATAATATATGTTAACGGCGAACGTTTTCTCCCCGAAAGCACTTTCCGACAGTATAGTACAAAGCAACGAACGCGTCAAAAACAGATGTGGGCAAAATACATACATACATACATACATAATATTATTATGTCGTACCTACAGGTACAAAAACAATGATGTTGTCAGGAGACGTGACGGGGGCGAACGGTCTGCATGGTACACTCTTGTGTGGGGAAATCCGATTATATTATTGAGAGACAATCACTTTTTCCTGACAAACGGTTGTTTGTCGTAGCCTAACCTGCTGATTGTGACGCGTTCAGTTGACTAGATCGGATTATTTAAAACCGTTTTTGAGCAATCACTACATACGTAAACAAACCAAAAAAAAAAACCAGTCGTTTTTTATTAATTATTATTATTATTATTATTTTTTTTTTTTTATTTATTTAGCGTCTTTTTGTTTATCGTTAACAAACAATAATATTATTTTATAACGTTGTTATAGCTGTTGTCTTCTCCACTCTCCCTTATAAAAAAAAAAACGTTTAACGCGCGTCTGTTGAGTTTTTTTTTATTAACACTATATTATTATTATAATATTACTATCGCAGATTTTATAATTTAACGTATTTTTAGACGGACCAAATGGACGCATTTGAGTGTGTTTAGGTTTGCACAGGAAATCGATTTGGGTCCTAATCATATTATTACATTATTGCACATGCAAATAAACTACACATTATCATAAAAAAAAAACAGTGGTTTCGGCGACACTTCCAGGCAGATTGCTATCGAAAATCCGAGGCTGCATCGCACACTATCATGACAGATCTGAAAACACACAAATGCGTTTTGCCGCCGTCGCTGTCGGGGTGAAAATTATTGTTATCGTCCGTCCGATATCAATAGCTATAATTGGTATATAATAGTGTGTTGTTATAATATTATTAACAATATATTATTAGCATATACTAAATGAGCGCCGACCATAGTTACGGCTGGCACTCGACAGACCCGACAGCGTACGGACGACGGGTACCTACCCGACCCGAATTGCCAAATGTATTTGTTTGTTTGTATTTTTTTTTTCGTTTTAACATTTGAAATAATACAAAATATAAGGGCAATGATGTGTGGTTTGCAGATAGCCGACGAAGAGTGGCTCACGCCGAGCCTGCTGGTCTGAGGACGACTGAATTGTGGAGCCCAAAAACGCGATACGATTATTCTTCCAAACTCATCCGCCATCTACTACGTACATTGTCAAGCCAATCAAATTAACGATATCCCGAAAGCCCTACCAACGTGTACCGACCGAAAAATTGTACATAAATCATATGCGGGCACCGAACAAAAAAATTTAATAACTATATTATATAAAAATTAAAAATTGAAAAACAACAACAATTATTATTGTTTTATACTACTATATAAAATTATTATTATTAATAGCCGGTGATAATTTATTAGATAATATGCAGCTATATAGACATAAACATAATACAGTACATATTTAGGCATGTTTACCCGAAGGGCCCCGTCGTTTAGCTATATCGGTAGCCAACTACTATTAAAAAAAAACGTAACATATCATCGATACGAGTGATGAAGAATTGTGATAAAAAAAAATTCGATAACAAATTAAAAAAAAAAAAAAAAATTAAATGATAACGGAAATTTAAATACTAATAATTTAGTTAAAACGTTGATAAAGGATACTAAAATGTATTGCGCTTACATGCTCAAAAACAATTATAGTATTTGATTTATATATATTGTGTTATAAAAAGTGTAGGGTATCGATTGCCAAACAATTTTTTTATACAAAATTATATATTTTAATTATGCCAACGTTTTCCCTCTGATTTTTCGTTCTACATCAATTAAAAACACTATTTCGCATAAGACGGCTCCAAGAAATTAAAACAACAATACAATATAATATAATATGACCGTTTTAGTCTTCGATAATATGGTTGCTATATTTTATTTGTAAACGATCATTACAACTTGTATTACAGAACTGTCATGTTGACAAGGCATACTTACTTATCCTATGATTTCACATTGAATTGATATTATTCGCTACGATCCGCTATATTAGTCCAGTTTTGTAATATATATATACCAAATATATAAAAATAATATATACTTAAAATTAATTTATGTATAGAACGAGCTGTTTTCATTTTTATAGAATGTTGAAATATGAAAATACATTATATTATTATTCAATTATTATTCCTATTATTACTATTATTGCTATTATTATTATGATTATGTTGTGTTATGTTTGTCTGTGTTTTTTTGCCTACTTATATATAATAGAATAAAATATTAATATTATTAAGGTACTCCGATAAAAAAAAAATCATTTCCTGTGCTCAACAATACACTCACGCCGTCTGCCTTTTTACATCTGATCACCGCTTTTTCATAAATCTAAAAATTAAGCTGTGTTTTTTTTTTCGACGACCCCTTAGGATGAATTAGATTATTTTAGATTATTTAGTTTAATGTCGCAAAAAAAAAATGCAGATCGTACACTCATTGTAATTAAAATAATTTTTTAAGCGAAAGCGGTTGTTTGCCCGAACCGTAGTTACGGTGTAGCTTAAAACAAAACTATAATAATTAGCTGTAAAAATAAATTAAAATTATAATTATGTTAATAATATTATTAGAAAAAAAAATCAAACAACAATAAACGATATAAAATTTTTAAAAAAATAACCGTGTAAATAACTATTACAATTATTATTATTATTATAATTATTATAATATACTATCGAGGATTGATAAATAATCTTAGGATAAACCAAAGCGTAATGTTTAAGTCTAGCGCGTAAGTTTTACACTGGTTTACCAGACAAGTCATAATATTATTCTTATTATTATTATTATTATTATCGAGTTATAAGAAAAAAACATTGTACATTAACGACTAGGTTAACCTACGAATAACGATAAGTATAGTGTTATTATTCAAAAAAATAAAATTAAAAATCATTAGCTGTTAGTCTTTTAGAGTTAATATACTATAATTTATATGATTATAACTATTACTACATTGTAACATTGTATTACATTATTATACACGTTGTGCAAGTACCATTGCGTGTAGGTACTGGAAATCTAACAAGACAACGTTAACTTGGCGTTTGGCCAGAAAATAAATCACATTTTCTTTTCGAAAACCGACCATTTCCGGTGCACCCCCCCCCCCCCCCGAGTAAGTTTAATAGTATGTTAAACTTAGTCGATAAAACCATTCTCGACACCTCTACATAATGTTGTCCCGTTATTGAAAATCACCATAACGTTTTTGGAGTAGGTACGATCAGGGTGTTCATGTTGAATTATTTTTTATAACACAATTATTATAATATTCGGACGCGCCGAAAGCGATATTAACACATACAAAAAACACACATAAGTAAACCGCGAGATCTCATATGTGATAAATAATAATAATATGTTGTGTTATCGATCAATATCGACAAATCGCAATGTAACACATTCCAATCGAATCGTTGATCAAAAGTACTTTAGTTTACTATTATTATTTAACCGTTTATTTTTTACTATATTTTGTATTGGCAGTACTACCTACGTCATTAATTTATGAAATAATATATAAATATACATATACATACACACGGGTGTAATAATGTATGTATTTCTACCAGAACACCACGACAGCACTCTATGATAGTAGTAATCCTTATATTGTGTATCGAATATAATGTATTATCGTTGTTATACTAATCGTAATTACACATAATGTATTATAACTACAATTACAATTATTGTATTACTATTAACGTAAAATATTATTATTATAATAATAATAATAATATGTAGTATCTATAAAATATTATGATAAGGATAAAAAAATAAAACATATTATTTAGACAGATTATGCATAATAATGTTACAGTTTAAACAATAACAATTAACAAATTAAGAATATTTAAAATTAACAACTATTATAATAACATGTACGTATATGTGTATAATAATATATTATGATAAGTATATAAGTGTGTGCGCGTGTATATGCATACCATATTATATATATATATATATATATATATATATATATATATTGTATTTTATGTATGTACACAGTGTGAAACGTGTAATAAAATTGTATAATTTCGCGAATAGGTACTTGTCATTATTGTATATTTGAGAATAATAATAATGTAAAATCTTAAAGTTGAATGAATTAATGTAAAAAAAAAATTAAAACTAAAAAAAAAATTATGTAATTTTTATTAGTTTAACATATTATATAATATGTATAAATTATATGTAATATGTAAATTGACGGGCGGATGGAATAGTTACATGTGTATGTATTAATTTATTCGACGACATGACAAGTCATATATATGTAAAATAATAACCAGTAAACGTTTTTTTAGCATCTCGTACGGAGGAAAAAAATTGTAGCAAAAATAAAAAAATAGATATTAAATTAATGTTAGTTAGATTGTTGCTGAAACGATTATTTATATATGATAAAAACCAAACACGTGTGTAGGTATCGTAATGTAATATTATTGTTAATATGTTACAAAGATACATATTATTATGATAAATTATAGTGATTGAAAATTAATTATTAAGTTATTATATAGCGAAAATAAAAGCTGACATAATATATGGAATAAAAATATATAAAAATAAAATGTTGTTGTGAACAAAAAGTGTTTTCTTTGTACTAAATTTCCTATTCTTATTTCATTTTTCTTATACTCCAGTCACAGGCAACAGTGCGTGCAGACTGCAGTAACGAGGTCGTATACAGGTCCTATACCTAAGTATATTATATCCTGCGGATATTCATTTTTGTCCATTGAAAATGAAAGTTTATACATTTGCACACATATGTGTGTGTGTGCTATATGTTGTTTAATGAAAACGAGAAGCGTGACGCAGAAAACGCCCTTGAACGGTGTACTTACGAGGGTCATGATGGTGATAGATCACCCCCAACGACCTACTTAATTTTTTTCTCTCCCAAATCGTGTATAATGTTACATATGATTTAAATACGACAGCAATAACCGAAATATAATATGCCGTTTCTCGATGGTATTGTTGTACTGGATATGTACATTCAAATATAATATAAATATGTACATTACCAACTGTTTTAAATATAATAAATAAAACAATAATACCACCTATATACAGCAGTGTTCATCGATCGATGGCATCATTTTTTTTTCACAAAATTGCGTTTCGATGATTTACATAACACGGGCCGAACGTTGGTTTTATAATGATGTGGTTTTTTTTATATATATATATACACAGTTTTTGGCTCGAGTACAAACAACACATTTTTTACATAAATTAGTTACCCGGAGAGGACTTAAGTTTACCAAAAATGTTAACGTAAAAAACCTGACAAAAACATTTATTATGAAGTCGAAAGAGAAAATGATGTTTTGGAGTAAATGTCATATCGGTTTTATGAAAATATCTCTTAAGACAATGTTATTGATACGTTTTTAAAACAAGTGAACCATAACTGTCTGAAAAAAAATTGTGCGATTTTGAGCTATTGCTAGGCATGGAAATGTTTTAGGCAATGTTAAATAGATCTAGGAAACAGGTAAACAAGTCGAATAAATAAGCAAAAAACAAATCAAATACAACAAATGTCACCACTTCTCACAGCCTGAAAATATCATGTTAACAGCCATAATGTATATGTGTTATTCATCGCAGGGGTAAGGACCCAAAAATTTGTCCGATACGTAACGCTGGATGCCACACTCAGCGGCGTCGGCGAACAAAGGAAGGGGAGATTAGAGATAAAAATAGAGATATGAGGTAGGAGATTAGAGATAAGAAAAGTACCAGGGTCTTATACTTGAACATAAAGAGATAACGTGTGGATATTCGTTAGCTTAATTATTTTTTTCTACTTCCATCTCGACTTCGTTTTCTTATTATTATTATTTTTATTTTTTATTTTAGTGAAGCGATTTAGGTGTAAACCAGCGATTAACCAAAGTATTCTTTTGACTCTGTACACAATATAAGATGTTAGATTTTTTTTTTTATTCGCGGGCTTAATTAATAAAACTTCCAGTCGCTGCTGTTGCTGCTGGCGACGGTGCAATAATTATCACCGTTTCAGATTTCTTTTCTTATCCGTGAACTGGTCGTACAGACATTGGGAAACGTGCGAGATTTCCGGTGCAGCCAAGGTGTTCATTTGCGACGGCCGATTGTAATTCCGGTTCCGCCGTACGTGCAACCTTTCTGTAAGTGTTTTTGTGTCTTTCTATACATTATTATACCTCTACCATGCCGGCGTCTCCTGTATATGTGCAATTGGCCTTAACACATACACCCATACACAGACTTAACGGTAGAACAGACTGGATCCGAAGTTTAAATCTGCCGTAATTGCGTTTATCGGTTTTTCATTGGACTACAAATATTTTCAAAATCGCCATTATCTCCTCCTCTTCTGCGCCACACGCTCACATCCTAATTGCACGGTAGCAAAAAGTCCGTGTGTTTAGATCCACAAAAGCAGTGCTAAAACCGACTGTTATTGCAAAAGACAATTTCCACTAGTATGGAAAAGTATACCGGACAAATTACCTCGACCGTATCTACCGGCTGTAATTGAATTTTCCATGAGTATAATACAGTCGGCAATCGAATAAGAAACTTGACCGTAATTAATTTAACACGGGAAAAAAATCGGATTTATAACTGCGAGCGTGACGTCAAACAAGCATCTTGTACTACAGCTTCTTTTTCATTTTTGTACATCGAGTAAACGATAATTGTAAACAAAATGTTATTAATATACCGAGCCAAGATATACACAGTGGGAGATGTACATAGGAAATGTAGAAACCAACACCGAATGGAACATTTTATTCATTAGTTTTAGAATATATTATAATATATTCTCTAATGGAGCCACTCTATAATGTCCAACGTGGCCGATATACCGGTGTACCGTATACCTACTCAGAGTATGACCTTAAGAAGATATTGTAATTGGTCAATTGCATGCGGTCGGTTTTTTGGCGTTTTAGATCAAAAAACCAGACAAAATTTCAATCACAAATGTTTGATTTGTTGCTTTTTTTATACAAAAAAAAGTAAAGTATAAAAATATATTTTAATATTGAAAGAATTGCTAATTTGAAACAATTATTTAAATTAAATTAAAAATAATACCTTGAAGTTAACACAAATAAACCGGTAAATTAATTGACATGCCCTCTTTTTCCCTTTAAATATTGCCTACCGAAAAACTCCTTAAAAAACAGACCGCATGCAATCCCCTAAAGAGTTTAATGCTATTACAGCGTCGAACGTCGTTGGATTTAATCTTTTTTTTTTTGTTATGTTTTTATTGTTTATATTAGGTAACCTGTATAGGCGATGACAAAAGAACCGAAAAGACGTTTTGTCCGAACCACCGGAGACGTTATTTTTCCTCGTTCAACAACAAAATATAAATACACGCGGTCAGTCGACCGATGGAAACGTTCGATTTTCATCGGTCATTAAACATTAAGAGCTTTTGTTTCTTTCGGAATGTCTTTTTTTTTCCGGCCTTTCGTTATTACTTCTTTTACTGCATGTATTGTTCGGACTGTCGTAACACACTCAGTCAACTCTATCGCTATAACGTCCTCGATTCTCATGCGGAAACCGGACACTGGAGACATTTTCAACGGTATATTTGTTCCTAATTTCTTTAACATGCTCGTTGGACGGATCCCATTTTACACACCACTTCATTCGATCAATGCAATTTGATTTTTTATATTACATTAAGCCCGTTTTCTCAAATGTCGCGTACACAGAAAAACGTATACGGTATACCTTATTGTTGTATTATATAATGTAAGCTCGGGTAGTTCTGACGGTAATAATAATAATAATTCTATTTTCAAGAGACAGACATTTAGTTGCGCGCTATGATTGAAAAAAACTAACACACACACTCGACTAAACACAACGTTATCGTGTACCCGACACCACACTTGAAGTATCCACTTGCATCGGTTTCTGTGTTGTATGTCCTAGGATATTAAAAACTCATTTCCTTTGAAAAATTTACCAACCGTCTTTGCATCTTACAAACGGTGTTCCCTTCCGGCGGTACTAATCAAACTCCAACGGACTTCCCTACACAGTGGGAATTAATAATTGTTTATCTAAAGCGAATTTTTCT